TTTAGAACCCAGTGTAGGAATAATTCAAATGATTCCTTCCAATGGGTATTACTGTACATTTTGAGTGATGGATGTCAACATGCCCTCTCTTCTCCTGTTAAAGGAGTGAATCACTCTGCTGGTTGTATGCATCCCGATCAAGAGGGAAAGAACATCACTGCATGTGTAACCTCCATTACAATTTGTGAAATCAGATCATCGTGTCTCCTAATCAGCCTACCATGCTGTTTAATTTAACTACAATGGTGTTAACTGGATCAGAATCTCAACAGGAAAATAAAGTAGCAACAAACATGAATCTAATTCACACAGCACAAGGAGCTCTTTTTAAAGCTATTCCATGTGACTTCCAGAATGCAATCCAGAGTGTGGGGTCATGTCACTCCTGCCCTGTAACTTTGGGCGCCTCACAATCCTTTGCTGCTGTAGCTACCACCTGGGCCACTCAGGAACAGCCTGCCAGCATACAAGCCACGCTCCGAGTGTTTAGATGAGGTGGGAGTGGTTATTACACAGAAAGCAATTAACAGACCTTCACAATAAGGGGTTGAGGGAATAACAAGAGGGAATTTGTTCTGTTGGACGTGGGAGGAACCATTTCAGAAGCCATGTTCAGCACTAATCTATAGTGAGGTCAAGCTCAATGGTAGGGACTGTTGTCTCCATTAGCAGTTCTGAAGCCATGTCTACCCGAGGAGTGCTTTACCGGTATGCAGCGATACTGCTACAGTATACTCACAAAGTGCTCCTATTGCAGATGCAGCTATACGGATGAAGCTGGGCTGTTACTACTATAGCCCGTCCCTGAAGAAAACAAGCTATACCAGTAAAAACGCCTTCCTCCCCATCACCCACACAGGTGTCCTTGGTTTTCTAACCGCCTGTTGCAGATGAAGAGAGAGGGACAGAAATTCAGCACCAGTGGGAGAAAAAAAGGCTTCATCAGACGGGATGAAATTAAAGAATTCCTCCAAGTTACAGATCAAGGGAAACTTCCTGTCAGTCTCCAGACTGTACGGGGAGATTTTGCCAAATCAGTAAAGTGCCTGAAACCACTACGGCTTATTGTTAAAAGCAGCCTATTCAGCAGTCTCAGCTTGACCATGGCAGGAGGGGAGGGGGGGTTTGGGGTGCCACAGAAAGGGCAGCTTGACCCCACGTCCTTCCTGATAAGAATTGTGTTGAAGTTGCTGATACCTGCATTTTAAAAGAGCAGGATGTGTCCCAGGAACGTCTATTGGGGTCTCAAGGCTGCAAACTCTGGAAAAACCCACACCTAGTTAATCAATAATCAGAAGGAGCCTCTTGCTTGACCATTGAAACTGCTTACTTAGCAAATTTTCTTTAAGGGACATGTCATTCTATTACTAATGTATAAATAAGGGGGGGAAGTTTGAGGTAGTTGGACTTGTTTGGGGACTCTTTTGGGCTCTTTTTGGACTCTCCCTCTGGATACTTCTTGCAGTCCCCACTGGCAGACGGAAGATTTGGCCACCGGACGCCTGCCGCTGTGTCACTGGAGAGCCACACTCAGCTTTGGTAATTATCAAGGGTTGGGGGTGTTTTACTAAACCTGTTGAGGACGTGTGTAAGTGCTTGAGACTAAGTTTAGCTTTAAGTGAGAGCACTCTTGTGTTGTCCTGTTTGTGCCGGCCATCTATCGGTCGGACGGCCGTGTCTCCCCTGGTTTATTTCCTGACACCACCTTACACAGAGTCAAAGTTACCAAGAGCTTTGGGTTGACAGAACCCCGGGTAACAAGACAGGTTTCCAAATCCTGCCCCAACAAGCTATCCAGGGTGGTAAACTGCTTCATCAGGCCTAAGGGGCCTACAACCTGCAACAGAATCCAGCACCAAGCACTGCAAAATGCTGTCATCCTACTGCGCTGAAAAGACCATACACACTTGGGAAACTTTCTCAAATAGCCACTCCACCAGCACCCACCAATCAACAGCGTGCCTGCATTCCAGGAGTTCACTACATTCACTCATCAAGAAGTTCTGGGCACCCGAAAGAATTCTTGACTCCAGACTTGTGAATCTGACCCATGATTTTCCTGGCTTATGAAAGAGAGTCGTGATCAGCTTGGCCAGGACTGAAAGAGCCAACACCTCGGTCAGTGAAGTAACCTTCCCTTCCCTTCCTCCTTCAAACACACAATAGTTCGACCAACACTCAGGACACCCACCGTGGATACATTATTTCTAGCCAGCTACTGCCCACTGTCCTCTCCATTGGCAGATTCTCACCAGCCTTTGCTGCATTGATGAGTCTTTCCAACAGATCCCTCAGGTTGATGGCTCTCAGCACCGCCATGACTATCTTCTGATCATAGGCTTTCCTGTAGTAGTTGATCAACTCGGTGGTGACCTCCACAGGCTTTGCTGTCTCCAGTATGTCCCGGGAAGCTGAGCCATCAGTTTCCTTGGGAAATACCAGAGT